AAATATTTATGTAAGAGGGGGTTATGGTAACTATTTTTCATATTTCAATTTGAAAAGGATCTAAGTCTACTATTTACAAAACTTCTAGATTCATCTCATGTTGTTGTTGAGTCGAACTCATAATAAAATTTATGTCTGGTTTCATGATTATGTTCGGCAACTGCTGTTGAGTATATTTGTCTTAAGGATCTTTCGTGTTCTCCAATGTATTCCTTGTCGCAAATGCATGGAATGCTGTAAACTCCCTTGCATCTCAAATGTGGTAAATCTGGTTTTGGTTCTTAAGAACTTTTGATATGTGGTCAGAGATGTTTTGAATGTAAGGAAGGACCACAGAGGTAAGTGTAGGATTGCTTTCGGCCTCATTGTTATTGGAAGGTTGTGGTGAAGTGTATTTTTTGATAGAACGCTTAGTATCTTTAATGTAAAGTTTTTAGAGAGAAGAGCAGAGGTAAGGTATTTTAATTCTGGGTAGATGAAAGGTGTCGAGAGCTTTTTTTCTCAAAGGCTTCCATAAGTATATTTGCGATGACAGTTTCAGTCAAGTTCTGAAGAAGCCAACAGGATGATGGGCGAAACGTCCGCAAGTTCGACTCCGCAAAACCGACACAGGAGGAATCCAGAAGTTTTGAAAAAAGAATTATAATCTCAATTTTCTTTTTTACGTAATACTTTATGATTTGAAAATTATACAATATTAAGAAATATTATGGTCGAATCTTAAAAAAATAAACAAGAATAAATACCAGTATGGTAACATCTTTTTAAAATTTTATAGTTACTAACCAAAACTAAATTTTCTGTCTTCGTTTAGGTTATAAGAAATGAGATAATTTTCTGGAGGATTCATCAATTACTATATCCAAAAACGCGCTCTAGCGGCATCTCTAAGCATGGGAAATGTCAAGTTTATACGGGTTCGATGTTTTAAGTTTTTTTCAATAAGACGATGCAAATGCAAAATTCGGTCAGTCGTTTAGAAGTTGCTTATTTCAAATTTATCACTTAAAAAAAAATAAGTTAATCTGAATCGACATATGAAAAAGTGCTTAAACAAAAATCATTCGAGTAAACCTTAGCCATGAAAGTCATATATTTTTTGATACTTTTACGTACGGATTTCAAAGATTTTAAAGATTGTTCCGTTGACTATAGTTTCCGAGATACAGCACTTTATTCCGATCTCGGTAGTGTTGGGACTGGTCGATTGACCACTTCTTAATCGACCGGTCAATTGATCGACAATTGACAAAATGTTTTGAATAACAATTGTAGAGTGTTATCTATCATTATTTAATAAAAACAAGTATTTTATAATCAATTATTATGGGCATGCGATGTCCAATTTACCTATAACCCTCTTCAAGGAATATCCGAATTCGATGCTTAGCAATTCGGGGAATCCCAATAAAAATATCCACTCCATTGAGTTCTCAGAACAACGCGATGACGATAATTATAAATTTCATTGCATTTTTTAAATTATTTCGGTCCATTGACACAAAAAAATTGACCTGTCAGTTCCACAACTCCAGATCTCGGTGTCTGGAGCTCAATTTTCATTAAAATAATAATGAATGTTTCCGTTTCAGAGTTAGTTAGTTAGTGTCAGGTTGTTTTGGAAAATGTGCATTTTTAAAAAGTCGCTGGGAAACTCTGTATATTTTTGTATCATTGAAAAGAACTTAAAATTATCAAAAATATAGCATGCTTTGGACAGTGCAACTGTAATACAGAAAACGAATGCGTACTAGGAGTAGAGAAATTGTGTTTTTGGTGATAAACCCGGCCTTTTAACTTTTAAAATAAATTTCAAAGAATCAACAACTTTTTCTAAATTATTGGTCGTTATTTCTTCATGTTGATTCTGTAGAATTATATTTTAAGGCTCCTAAAACCACCATTTTTTGTAACTCATATATCTTTTGACAGTTTCTTCTTAAACTGACTACTGTTAAGGTTGTGGCCTCAATGTATTTAAGAAGTTGTTGCATATATGTAGTACAAATTGCTTGCTGTCTCTCCTTTCTTCTCGGATTTCAAAAAACCAACTATAAAATCCGATTTTTTTACAACCAAATTCACAATTACCAATACGCATTTGTTTATTATGGGTATTATACTTGTTCGAAATGGAAAAAATTTTTTTGGAAATGTAATTTCAAGTACCTACTTTTCAATGATTTAAAAAAGTAGGAATCAATTTTTCAGTTGAGTTGAGTTAAAATTGTCCCCTATATAGATATATCGTCGAGAAATGTCGACCTTTGAAAAAATTGATGTTGCTGTCATTTCAAACCATATTTCGTATATGATTGGTGATCTAAAAGGCGGCGATTGCTGATCGGTGATTCCCGCTTGCGCGATGAATACCTAAAATACATACCGCCCGAATGTGATCAAATTACTAGCGAGAAAGCGTTTAGAGAAAAAGTACCGTACGCAACGCACGCTGAATAATTTATGGTTATTTCTATTAATTTCGCATAGTAATGAACCGGTTCGTGACGCGTTAGAGGTAGCCATAGCGCTTATCTTGAAGCAATGGCCACGCGGCGGCATTACTAAGAACAGGACCCGTTTAAATCGATAGGAATTACTACGGAGAAGCTCGTCTCAGCTATAAACGATCGATCGCCTAATCGTTGCGGGAAATAAGAGAAAAGAAAAATTCGCGAACATTAACTGGGATATAAGAAAATGGACGTTCACAAACAATAATTTGCCAGGACAAAGATTGGCGAATGGCGAACTGACGACAACACTATTCAATGACGAACATCAATAAAGGGGAAATGTTGACAAGCGTCACGGCAAATCTCAAAACATACTAAGCTTAATTTAATATTATTGCTCGAACTTTATATAGAATTAAAATGTTGTCCGTTCAAATTCGTGCTCTTGATGCATTCAAGCATTCAAAATTAAGGCATACAATGCGGCAATGCGGGGGGCTAGAAGCAGAGACGCGATTAATTTGAGCTTTTTAAATTTTTCAATTATATCAAAGTGTTATGACAAATATTGCATCCCTGTTATTATTTGTATGCATAGGTATAGGCGTGCATTATGCACGGTATTAGTATTTGGTGGTTACACTCGAACCACTTTTTGATTTAAGTTACATAAAATAATATGTAATCTCAATATTTGTATTAAATTTTTACTAACTCAAATATAACTAAAAATAACTATAACTAGTCAAAAACAGCTAAAACTATCTGAATATTTGCTATGTACATATGAATGGAAGTATAGGGATAGTCATTTTGTCACACGACATATATTGATGTACTTCATTCATTTGTTTTAGGAGCTTCGTGTTCCGTATACTACTCCTATGCTTTATTTTTAACAAGGACATACAATTTAATTCGCATAACAAAAGTGTAAGAAAAGCTTAATAAATATTGTTGCCGCCAATTTTAACAGAATCGCCTACAGAAAAAAAAAACTAGCAGTGCTGAGTATATAATATAAATAAATATATTAAAAGAATATATTAATTTTAAAAAAGAGTATCTCCAACTTGGTTTTTGAAAAATTGTCTTTGACAATTTTGCTTTTAAAATCGCCAATTGAACGATTTGGAGGTTATGAAATCTCTAAAAATCATTTATTTTGTCGGTTTATTGAAAATAATTAAAAGTATTATGTGTATCTGGATTGTCGAAAGACCCAGTTAACTTTTTACCCTAACATTTAAATTAGTGTTAGTGTTCATTTCATGCTTGCGTGAATCCATCATATCAACCGATTAATTTCCGCGGAAATGTAAAAATCGAAAAAATAATTGAAAAAGTTCTTGCGACACTAACCAAAAAATTCAATGTTTGTTTATTTATTGACGGGATTATCGTGTTAATGTAAAAATTTGTACAAAATATTACAATATTCCTAAGGTTAGCCAGTGCTATTAATTATAATAATTACTAAACTGCAACCAAGAGACAAAACGGTGAACTGAGGTGGCTTTTACTTGATGAAAATCCATTTATCAAAATAAATAAGAACTAAAAGTTCCGATTTTCACGAAATTATATATTATGACGTGACAATTGTTTCGACAACACCGTGTCGACATTTGATAAAGACACGGTGATGTCGAAACAATTGTCATGTAAAAAAATATATAATTTCGTGAAAATCTGTACTTTTAGTTCTTACTTATTTAGACGAAACGTTCTTGAACTTATAGCATATCAGGCCTGTTGATTAAAGAAAGAAACTTGAGATCCCGATATGTAAGGGAATTCAGTCCAAACTCAGTCCTTGTCGAAATAATAAAATAATAAATTATTTAGTCTAATTCTGTTTAGACCGCGATCTTTATTTGCTCTAGTTACAATATGTAGTTTCATATAGTTATAGTCCATAGTTTTAGCTAACCACACCAAAAAATCCCATAGTCGATGTCATATCCCTAATAAGTTGATTTTATATATAAAAAAACATAATAAAAGTTCCGCAAAAACCAGCGAAAGAACCCGTATTGTAAACACATTTTCATTTAAAAAAAACAAGCAAAAATTCATATTGAAAATGAAGGACTTGCCAAGTTAGGCAACTTAAAATCATTTTGGCCGAAATTTTGGAACTTATAAATACGCGTTATCCTTTTTTCTGCGCTCATCAATGGACGACAAAAAGAGTTAAAAAACGAATTTCAAGCGATTGTTTTGGCAAATTCTCAGAAATCTCAAAAAATATTAATTTAAGTAAAATACTTGGAACGCAAAGTTTCCAGGGAATCAGGGTTATGAAGATAGGGTATGAGTCAATTTTGTGACTTTTAGATGAACTTAATATATTTTACTAGCGAAGGGACGACAAAAAGTATTTTAAACATATTCTTTTCTCAAGATTTAGGTAAGAACTCTCGCCACTTTCGTATTACGGCCGCTTTGACAACTCTCGCCGTTTTTTGCGAGGAGCTCGGGAAAGCCGGATCGATCGAGAACGCAGACGAAAGACACAAACCACCATTAAAACCGACTTACCTCAGGAACTCGAAAAGATAATCCATACTGGCCGATCGAAAACACCGAAAACCAACCGATACCGGCGCGAACAACCAATATAAAAAGACAGACCGACGAGCAAAAAAAAAATAAATAAATAGTCAGAAATCGCGCGGACCACGCGACACCACGCCACTGGACGATCTCGCACCTCGTCGATCCCGTCGTGTTCTGTCTCGACTGACGTGCAGCGTCTTGGAGTGCTCGTGCAGCGTCCTCAGCGAGAAGCGGCAAGCGGAATACGGTCACGAATTCGGAAGATCGACTCTTCTGAGGTGGCGGACGAAGCGCGATTGGCCGATCGTCCGGTGGAAGGGGTACAGGTGAGCGCAGGTGAGAGAAACGAACGGCAGGTGGGTGGACGGGAGCGAGATCGCTAGACGCGTATGGGTAATATGCGGGCAGCAGATATACATATAGACGTATAAAGGGTCTCGGCGCTCTCTGGATAAGCGGGTATACAGGGTGGTTCGAACCGGTCGAAAGGCGATCTTAACTTGGTACTGTCAGACAAAAAACACTACAGAATCAAAATACTTCCCACGCCCTGAATTTTGAAGTTTTTCAATTCTGACGGTCATGTCAGTAAATGTTGTTTTGTGAAAATGTACCCAAAAACTAACTGTCGTAGAAAAAGTATAATATGCAACACGTTCGGTAAACTTTTCAAGTCACTCGTTTACTAAACACTCGCTCCGCTCGTGAGTCAAATGCCGTTTACCGCACTTGTTGCATAATTTACTATTACCGCAAGGTTTGAATTTTGACGTTTGTTAATGCTGATGGTCATGTCAGTAAATGTATTCCTATTGTTTTGCAATAATGTACCCAAAAACTAATACACAGAAAAATGTTATTCAATATATCAAACAATTTAGATACTACGTGTTATAAGCTACAATTAAAATCTAGTCGGTAAGTAAAGTCACATTTATAATTTAAGTTTCCCAGAGAAATATTACATACGGTTCTCACGAACTTCTTTTACAGTTTTTATATTAATATCTTGCCAAGACTAATTGTACGATTTTCGAATATCCATGTCTCATCAGTACAAACAAAACAAAATTGAAGGTTGGGACCTGGTTTTTCTTGCTTATACTATCTTCCAATTACAATCTTTTTCTTAAAGGGAACTACTTAGTGATCAATTGAAAAGTTAAACAAACAACAGAACGTTTTAAAATTGTGTTTATTCCGTTGTTTATATGACATATCCAATAATACATTTCTCTCTGTCTAAAGTACACAGTTAAAAAGAGATAATAATAGCAGAATCGATCGGAACGATAAACGAGTAGGTTTAATGTAAACTAGTAAATATTTTGTTTGAATGGTACGGAATCCAGTAATCCGATAGTCAGTCATTTTTAATTTGTTAAATTGTAATTTTTTCGTGACGATCGTAGAAAAAGCATAGTATGCAACACGTTTGGTAAACTTTTTATCTCACTCGTTTATTAAGCACTCGCTCCAGTGCGCTCCGCTCGTGCCAAATAGACTCTTGAGTCAAATGCCGTTTACCACACTTGTTGCATAATATACTAATCCCCGTGTTAACTGTGATTTCACAATGTGATGGTATCAAATTCATGTTATGGAATGATAAATTTATAACATTTTTGTGATTTTCACAAAATAAATGTAAATTCACACCCGAATCACACTGACACGCGGAGCAAAGAGCGACGCCGCCGCCTTCTATGTTTTTTTTTTCAAGTTTGGACATGTTGGTGTTTACTGCCAGCAGTCTCCATTTAATTATTAGTATGAGGGGCTTGTTATTATTGTGAACAAAATATTGGTGTGCGTGGTTGTTAAACGTATATGTGCAAGCATAATATATTTTCTATAATGTTTGGCTGTCTATTAGACTTTAGGATAAGCATCAATATTTTCATAGAAACTGGTCTCAGTTTTTTATTTGGCAACATGACAATTGCTTTATGCAGTTTATGACGTATGGCGTAGATTACATAAAAACCAAACACCTAATATTGAAACACATTGAAATGAATTTTCGTGTAACCTTTGCCGATATAAAACTTCAGAAAAGAGTTATTTATAAACATATTCAAAACAAGGAACAATTAACCTGCTCTTTTAAAAAAAGTTATGGATATAGTGGTAAATTCAAAACCACATATAATTTTATTTGCAGAAAACTGATCTGTGTTTAGACACTCAGAGAAAAAACGTTGTAAAATTTAAAAGAAATGTTAATGATTGGATGAAAATTAAATACGATTTTGCTTCATTGGTGCTTTTTAGAGGATATATGATTCTATAATGCCTTTTTAAAACTAACATGTGCATGACAATTTTAATTACTTATTCTATCTATTACTATCATTATAAGTTATAAGGAAAGTCCTTTTTTTCTGTTAAAGCTATCTTTGGGTTAGAATGTCCTATTTTTTATTTCAGGGTCATGCAAGATTAATGTAACAGGTTTTGTTATAAAATATAAATTTTTTACTTAAAATAAATCATTGAATCATATCATACCAAATTGCCTTTACTTAGGTTTAGGATAAATAATGGTTACACTATTTTGTAATGCTTAATTTACATTGCTTGTTTGCATATCGCCGACAATTAAAAAAATTAACTATTCCTAAAACCACCAAGAAAACGGTTACAAAAACTTGGAGGCCTAACAACATAACAAATGGACTACCGAGAATGAGCACGCAGTTGTTAATAGCGGCTTTATCCCTTTGTTCTACTGACTGGTAAAAGTCAAATGACAGCAGACTCTCTATTCTGTTTAAAATGTTAAAGATATCCTTAACGTCCTTTAAAATATAAACTTCCAAGTCTTATTATTATAAGAGAACGGAAAACGTCCTTTTGTAATAAGCACGTAATAATTTGTTTTGAACATAATTCCATTTAACAAAAGAAAATTGTTGATGTTTTAAAATGACTAAACTAATAATTTATAAACAAGACAATATGAAAATATTTTCCAGTGTACCTAAAATGTTATATTTTGATTAGTGAAATTGCAAAAAAGAGTTGATTTATTACAAGGTGATTTCTTTTGCACTTTAAAAGGCAGATTTTTTTACTGAGTGTAGCCAGGGAGACTGCTGTGTCACGACTCATTTGTGGAAGCTAGAAAATTAATATTGTGTATTTTATACTAATTTTAATGTATCCAAAGGGTACTTGTACCACCACAGAAATGATAAAACGTAAGTTTATAAAATATTATCCTTAACAACAACAACAATAGAAATAAATATATATGCGAGAGCAAACGTGTTCGTCTTCGTTATCAGCGCAGCAGCAAAGAGATGTGGGCATATCGGCGCAAGCTACACGTATCGTGGACTGACAGGGTTCGGAATGAGGAAGTTCTGCGCAGGATGAATGCTCAAACAGAACTTCTTTGTACCATCAAAAAGTGAAATTTGAGTATTTCGGACATATCATATGAATTGTAATTGACAATTCAAGGAAAAATTAACAGTAAAAGGGGCGCTGGACGTAGAAGAGACTCGTGGCTGAAAGATTTAAGAAAATGCCCTGCAAAAACAACAGCTGAAATTTTTGGAACAACATATGAAGAAGAGCTATAAATATGTTAAATATATGTGTTTTTAGATATCAACTAAATGTACATTCATACACATACGACTATTATAAAAATATTAAAAATAAGGATTATGAGCAGCATATTAGTTGTATTGATATTCTTTAATTTGTATAATTAAATTCGTTTGGTAAAAATTCGACTTTTTTTCAGGTTTTAAAATTGTACAAAATATATGCAATATATAAATAATTTTATTCTACTATCAGATCAGATATTTCGACATGCACAAAAGGAACAAAATATGTATTTATTTTTTATTAGATGAGAGAAAGTCATTCTTTATTAACAGTTCAGCTTGTAGAGAAGTCTAATTTATATAAAAATTTCCTATCGGATGTGTACGCTCGATTCACGGACACACTGTATACGCATATTAATTTTGCAATGTATTTTTAAAATGCTGTTTATACATTTCTTATATTGCAAAATCACATGATGTTGTAAAATACGGAAAATAAATTTCAATTTGTTTTAAAGTTTTATCACAAATTTTGCTTAAATATGTAATTTAGCAAATGCATCGTTTTTTACAAAAATATTTTACAGTATTAGCTAAATTTACAAGATACTTGCTAATGTGTTGTAACAGTAATTTTCTATAATAATTTTTAAAGTATCTGCATGATGAGTATTTTGAATATTTAAAGCAACACTTTAAAATCTGAAGCTATGGACAGTGAGCAGTTAAATGTTATTTTAATGAAGCTATATTATCCTGTCATCATTCCGATTATAACGCATATGATAAAATCGTGCATAGAGTCTTATTTTACCATGTCATGGAAAAATGCAAAAAAAAAACAAAAAGCTCCACGAATTTTTATCACCTGAGATTGATTGCAGATCTTATTATATGCTTAAAAACTCTAAAGGAGTTGGATCAAACAATCTCGCAGTGTGTTGCGAGCGAGGCAACCATATTACTGGTAATAAATACTTCCTCCAAGAATAAATGGCAAGTCTTTCAAAAATGGAACAACACATGTTCGCAAAATATTTATAAAACCATCCGCTGTCATTCATTGGAAAAATAAGATCCCACAAATCTGCTTCGGAAAATTTCTACCCATACACTGAATCTAATTTGATACACTACAGCATGAGGATTTTCAATGCTCCAGCGATAAGAATTGCATCTGTTAAATATTCCGGAACAGTCAATTCTCGCTTCATCACTCCAAACAATAGACAATGCGAAATAAATGTTTTCATTGCATTTTCCGATAAACCAGTTACAAAACTGGATTCTTCTACCGGCATCCATTCATGTAATTGGTGGACTTTTCTTGCACGATGTAGTCAAAACTTTAATTTTTTCAGCATTTGGTGCGTCTGCTAGTGCTCGTGAGGATATACTTGGATTTTCCAATACTTCTCCAATTATATTGAATTTTTGGATTTCCTGGTTTTCATTTAGGTGGTTTTGATTTTGGCTTTTGACTTTTTAAAACTTCCGTAATTGGATAAATTATTTTTTAACTTCCGAAATATTCGGTGACATTGCGCTATATGCGCTATATGCATGGCCTACCAATTTTTGTCATCACAGATACCAACAAATCTATATGACTAAAACAGGCATTTTTTAAGCCCATAGCCACTATGTTTGAGAACCGTAGAAAGAATCTGAGTACGCCACTGCATTTGCC